TTCTGAATTTACTTCTGTAGTTTTTCAGAATTTGTCTGAATTTTCTAGTATTTTCTGAAAGTGCATGTATTTTTTGGTACAAGCATTACTTTTTTCTACACTGCCTTTGAAATCATGATCATCGTTATCTATAAAAATACAACTAAATCTTAAATTTTGAAATTCAAACTAAAATATTTTTAAAATAATTACACTAACAAACAAGAGTTCATTGTCTTTAACATTTAAGCTAGAGCTTTCTTCAAGTTCTCCAACATTGCTCTTGGTACTTTTGAGTTTCCTTTCCAGATTTCGAACCATTTTTGATAACCCTTTATAAAAAAAAGATTAAATTATATAATATGGCTTGAATATTATATAGTTATTTTGACAAACATAATATGAAACCATAAATCAAATTAAACAAAGTATTTTTTATTACCTGTGAGATCAGGTCCCGGTAATACATCATCTTGCTCTGTTTTACCAAGTCCTGGCGGCGCATTGATATCACCCGTATGACGAAAAAAATGATATGGTTTAACATGAATCAAATTTGGAGCATAAGACCACACATCCTCCCTGTCATCCATAATACATACCATATTATCACCACATGGAAATAATGCTCTAAAAGCAAATTGAATATAGTTTAACATTGAATGACACGAAAATTTTGACATAATAATAAAATAAAACTTACTTTAAATTAGCTGTTTTAGTTGTAGAATTAAAGCATTCATCTCGTGATAAAATTCTATGACTAAAATACTTTCCATCTCGATCTAAGAACATTGCAATTGTGTGTGCATAATTACGTGCTCCAAATGTGCATATGTGAAGCTCAAAAAATGCTGACATATTTTTTAAAAATTTTTGAGTGCCAGGCCTTAGCCTGGTGTGATACCAAGGAGAATGTTGTCCATATAATTGAAAATGGTACACATCCTAGAAACCCAAGGAGAAATAAATGAATAAAGAATAATTGATACCATGAAATCTTAAGTATAATTTAGAAACAGACCTTTATATTGACAGGAACATTATCGTTTGTAGTATGAATCAGAGTTTGATCCAAGTCAACAAGAAGAACCAATTTTCTATCCTGAAGTAATCGTTCAGAGTCTGCTTTACCTAGCTTTTGGGCCAGCTCATGACTTACTTTCAAATCAGGTACCGAATGCACCATAGCTACAGAGGCTCCAGTAGATTGCATAGTATTGTTTGCAGATTTTCGTAAATCTGCTCCACATTCTCCACACATATCTCTCATCACAGTTGGATGAGTACATTCTTCAATTTCTAAAATTGCCGAACTAAATTTGGAAAAAGATATTTACAATGCAGCTGATAAATTCAAATATACCGCGTAAAATCATGCGCATATGTCACTTACCCAGGGTCAACAATATCCCCTTCCCTGACAACGAGACGCTTAATTTTACCAGCTTTTATCGCTTTCAATCTCTTTTGTTCACTTTTGGCAATATTCACAAAATCGTATAGTAATATTATTTGACCTATTGATATAGTAAAACCTTCCTTAACTTTCCATTTCAGTATTTTTATTGATTTTTCAACACCCGCCGTTACCATCACTGTATTATCCGCCATTTTGGATTAATGGCATATTTTCTCTTTGGCTGTTCACTATTGGGCACAGTAAAGCACGTGACCTTCTCGCAACCAATCAACAAAATCCTTAAACTTGTCAAAATATTATGATAATTTTACTTTATTCCTAGGATTTTGCTCAAAATAATAGATATTCCTTTGATTATGAAATTTTGTATATAATAGGAAAAAATGACTAACGAGTCAGTTATAATCATTTCTGTCAAAATTTTATTAACGTAGAAATTGCGCCAAATTCAAATAATTTTCTATTATTCAAGACTACGTTTTTGTATAAAAGACATTAAATTCAATATATTTTTTAATTTCACAATTAATTGATACAATTATTATATTCATTATAGATACATAGCGCCATTTGGTTCAAACTGCTCAGTATGAAATGACACTACAGTATCTTTGACAATTAGAAATATTTATTATGTGATATAAGCATTCACTAAATACATTTACCAAAAGAGCATTTAATAATCATATATGCATCAAAAATGTCTTTCACAAACCACAGCCCATAAAAAAATTATGAGTATACAACAAACATATATTTCAGTAAATAAACTATAATAAAAAAAACTATTCATATTTTGATTAAAATAGATTACATATGAGCACAGGCACATACATAAATGAGATTAAAACAATACATTTCTAAATATATTCTATGGTACTAGTTATTTTTATCTTGAATAACTTATCACATCATAATGTTGTATCTGTAAAAATAGTGATATCAAATTTTCAGTTTAAAACAATATTCAATTGTGCTGACAAACAATTAAGTTGTTTTCATAAACAACTCATTTAGCAAGCTGATTGACATATATGAACTTCTGATTAAAATGAATAAAAATAGACTCAAACCAAACAAAACTGAAGATACTTAATTAGTACATATTTGAAAACATTAATTTTATATATCCATGTAAAATATATCCGCAGTTCAATGCAGTCAGTTTGTGGGGCACACCCTCACTCTAGATGCATGAGAGACAGGGGCCCCCTGAAGCCTAGCAACAACCACCAGCTTGAGATCCAGCAGGCCCACCAGAACCAGGATGACTTGGATTTGTTGGAGAATGTTGTGGACCAATTTTGATTCCATTTGCCTGGATATATAAAAGAATTATAGAATTATATCAGATTTGATAATGATAAAATACTCAACTATTTTTTTCATACCTCATTATTTATGTCAAAGACTCCCTCTTGAATCTTTTCATAAATCTCTTTTGCAGTATTTATAAAGGCTTCTTCAACATTAGCTGCAGTTTTTGCAGATGTTTCCATAAAAACTAAACCATGCTCCCTAGCAAAGGCCTCACCTTCTTCTTTTTTGACTTCTCTTCGTGAATCCAAATCACTGTAACAATATAAATAAGTATCTAAGAAATAACTTATAATAATTTCATATTTACCTCTTATTTCCAATTAACATGATCACCATATTTGAATTTGAATGTTGTCTAGCATCTTCCAGCCATGTTGTTAAGTGATTGAAAGTTTCTCTTCTGGTTATATCATATACCAGCAAAGCACCAGCTGCTCCTCGATAGTAGGAACGAGTAATTGATCTAAAAAACAATTATTCTAGTTATAGTAATTATTTACCACATTTCCACCAATCACATGAAAATATTACCTGAAGGCTTCCTGACCCGCTGTATCCCAAATTTGAAGTTTTATTTGTTTTCCATCAATAGTTATCATTCGTGCACCAAATTCAACTCCAATTGTGAGATCATGAACAGGCTGAAAACGTTTATCTGTGAACTGTAGAAGGAGGCATGATTTTCCTACACCTGTAATAAGATTAAAAAAAATTAATAGTCAATTTTAGGCTCATATTCAGTTTTCAAAACAGCAGTCGTCAAATATTCATTTAACGGAGAGATATCATGTTTGACAACAGATGTGCAGAAATAATTATTCCACTCCCACAAAGGAAAATCAATAGAACACTCACCCGTATCTCCTATTATTATGTATTTAAACAAATAAGCATAGGACATCGTAGAATACTTTAGATAACTATTATAATTATAAAGATGCAAAATTGAAAAGAATCAAAAGATTTTGTATAATTTATTGCGTTTAAATGTCGTTTCAACCAGCTGTATTTACGTCATATCAAAACTGAATTGAAGCACTTGTCAAAAACAAGAATGAGCTTCAGCAGTGACTCATTGATAAATATTTTTGATATTGGCTAACCTGCATCCAGAGATTCTAAACATTTGGAATTCATGATTAAAATCACAGATAAAAGAAGAGTCATAAAATCATAAAATCTTAAAATCACCTAATTAGTAATGAGCAGATAATACAACTAATATGACGTTATGAAAAATTAAATTTATCAAAGGATATTTATAATATAAATCAATTTTCAAATTTTATTCTAAACAGCACTAACATTAGTTTTTACATCTGCATTCGACACTCGCAAGACATTAATGCTTTCTAATTAGTATTTGATAACAATAACACATCTTGATATTGTATCTCTTTTTCAATAAGAATTGCCTGCCATATAACTCCTGCATATTTAAAAGGTGTTTAATTACGTCCTGAATATGTTGTAAATTAAATGTTTCATTTGGATAATCAAATGCTTGTACTGATATTGCTTAATAAATACATAATAAAAAAAGTTTTTAAAGTATTTAGTCAAAGTCCTATTTACTATAAAATGATTTCATAAAAAAACGAACCATGAACAAGCGATGAATGCATGACTCACTCAGATGCACTTTTTGTCAGTAAAATTTATTTCCATTCTGGCAACACCATTAGTGCAAGTCGTTCTCGCCGTGCTCTGATATTTATCTGTGAAGAAGGTTTGCACGTGCACGATTTGCATTATTCGTTTTTGCTACTTACGGCGTAAATCGAATTGGATACCGTTTTAGTAGGCGGTAAGCTCTTAACAAGTATACGATTGACTTTTAAACTCACCTCGTGTGACTATTCTCTTACATATAAAATATTTATCAACGTTTTAGAGGTGGTCAAAGTAAGGTATGTAAATGAGATTGATAACATTATTATTATATGCAACTTTTACGCAATTCGATTTTCGCATTATGTATGCATAGTTTTTTGAGTACTAGTATAAATTCTGCATTATATTTTCTCTGTTCACTATTAGTTAATTATATTGCAAGAAATGATTAATTGATACTGATTTTGATTACTGTACAGGACAACATGGTTAAAAAGCCAGAGAGTGAGAAGGCTACTGAAGGCAAAAAGCACAAGCCTAAATGCCTTCCAGCAGGAAAATACTGCCTTATCAGTTGTGATATGGATACAACTGGACGAAGGTTAATAGATGAAGTAAGTAGATAATATATACTGATCTAATTTTCCGATGAAACCTTTTTGTAATCCACCACATGAATATTATTAAGCATACCGCACCCCTAATGATGATTCCATTTTTGTTTTAAATCATAATTTTTCAACAGATATTAAATGAATTTAGATTTGATCATATAAGCTTTTGATAATCATATTTAATTCATAAATTTTACCAAGTATTGAAACTTTTTTTTGTTTAGATATGCCATATAGCAGCATACACTCCAAATAGCCAATTTTCCCAATATATCATGCCTTATGCAAATTTAAACCCAAGTGCCAGACGAAGACATAATATTCGTGTTACAACTGATGGCCGTTTTAGAGTTTTGAGAAGCAATATAAACAATAAGGTAAACAAAACACAAAACTGAATCATATGAAAATTTTTATGCAATCTTACATTTATTTTTTTTACAATAGGTTATAAGAACAAAGTCAGAAATATCTGCATTAATAGATTTTTTGAATTGGCTTGAAGAAATCAAGTCAAAGTCAGATGGAGCAGGTGTAATTCTCATATTCCATGAACCTAAGAAAATGGTATCTTACATGCTCTTAGAAGCTCTTCAACGTTACCATTTACTTGGAAAGTTTCATGAAATTGTTAAGGGTTTTGCAAATGGACATGCATTAGCGGAAGAGAAATGTTCAACTACCATGAAGTCTTTTAACCTTAAAGTTTTATCCAGAGTCTTACTAGATCGAGAAGAACAATTCGATAATGCATCAAATAGAGCAAAAATTATTTGGGAAATAGCTCAACATCTTGGTCAAGGTTTGACTGCCATAAATTCTATTTAATTTTTTTTAGTAAAGATTTCATATTCATAGTAATTATTTCAGGTGAACAAAAGAACTTAGCAGCTGGTACTGGAGATCCAAATCGTGTAATATTAGACAACATGGTAGAAGTAGTTCGCCAGTATTCGCATCCTACTTCTGTAGAATTAGGTGAACTAAAAGAACTGCGCAAAGTTGCTGAAAGAAGCAGTTCATTCCAGCCAATATTTAGTGCAGCTAGCAAAATGAATTATCGGGATATTCAGCACATAAATGTTTTAAGATCAATATTGGCTGAAGGCAAATCTGATTATAATACCATGAAAAGTACATATGAAACAGATGGAAAACAAGGCCTAATAAATGAATTGGGTTAGTATCTCATGATGCAATTTAGAATGATTATACTTTTTTGTCTTATCAATTACAAAACTACCAAATACCATTTTTTTTACTGATTACAGCCAAATTGCAAATTACAAGGAAAGATCAACAACATGATTTATTAGAGATATTGGACTCACATTTTGATCCAAAACGTACTGCCACATTCCCCAATACAAAAACGCCAAAAAAACCTAAAAATAGGAAATTAAATAAGACTGTTAGCAGTGATGATAGCGGAGCTGTGTCTCCTGATACAACTACAACAACTTCTCCTTTAAAGAATGCTGCAGATAAAACTGTGAAGACTAATTAATTTTAATGCCAGATAAACTTGATTTTTGATATACATATGTTGGTATGTAGTTATGAATTTAATATACTTTAATTAAACCCATTCCAAAAATCATAATTCATATTTTTTAAATTTGATTTAAGAAATCTTAATGTGTAACTTTATTTTGTTTTTATTTAGAGCTGTAAAGTTTTATTGTACATTTTTAGCTCAAAACTTTTTATAAATTCAGTTTTTGTTAATATCTAGAAGTCATACAGATTATGTTCATATGAATTGTGATTTTATCGGTTTGGATTTACTAAATGGGCATTATTGAATAGTATTATTTTAAATTGTGCCTTATATTCATTAAACTTTTTCTTAATATTTTTTATTTATCTTGCTGAATGTATGAATTTATGAAACACTATATATTTGAAATTACTTAAGAAAATATGAATTGTTAAATTTTTCAATTGAAAATTGATAATTTTGTAATAAGGGAAGACTGCAATTTATTGTGCAATGTAATAAAAGTAAGCATATATATATATATGAAATATATAATTTATATTAAATGAATGTTTTATTATACAAAATTATGAAATATTTTAAACCGTAATACAATCATGCTTGTGCAGATCTTCTGTACCAAAATCTAGCACGGAAGTCATCAGAACATGTAAGAAATGCTGGATGTGTGGGAGAATGAACAATAAATCTAACTGGGCCGTTATGTCCTAATGACATCAATTGTGCTCGAGAGGCATTTCTTGCATTCCAAGCACATAATGATGTAGTAGCTTCATCAGGGAAAAGTACATAATCCTCAGTGTGATTGAATACTGCTTGTGCTGTGTGCTCTTGCTTACCTTAAAAATAAAATAAAATGTTCAATATAAGAACATCATAAATGTGTGAATGCGAATGTATAATTTATCTAATTTACCCGTTGTGCCAGCTCCTGTATAAGCAATTAAACACCTGCTTGTACTTAGTTCCCATAGTTTTACTAGAGAATCTTTACCAGATGATAATAGATACTGTGAATGAACAAATGATATGAATAAATATCAATAAATAATTTTTTCTACATGTGTGAATCTAACCTTTCCATTTCTTGAAAAAGCAATGGAGCAAACTTCTTGACCGTCATGTGCCTTTTGGAATGTATTTACACAGCGACTGCTGACACCATCCCAAAGCTTTATAGTACCATCAGCACTTGCAGAAGCATAAAGCTATAATATATATATTAATTAATATAATACCTGCTATTTATTTAACATTTAAAACTATTATCATTTTAATTACTTTTCCATTAGCTGAATATTTGACATGATTAATTGCATCAGTGTGATGAAAATTTCTGAGATGGCTGACAAAACATTGTGCAGTCTCTATATCATAAAGTCGAACTACAAAATGATTAGTTCCTGCAAGAATATAATCACCTGTCGGATGAAAAGCCAAGCATCTAACTGAACATGAATCCTAAAAATATTACAAATTAACTAATGTTTGAACCTTAATTTGTTATTTTTTTACCATAATTGTCCTGTAAGCTTTTTTAACAGAGGCTTTTGAAATATCAAATAACTTTATAGAATTGTCTTTTGAACCAGATGTAAGAATTTGTTCTTTTGGATGAAATTCTAAGCAAGTTACTTCATCTGTATGATCATATAATGTTCTGATAACTGGATGTCCTTGTGTTTCACGCCCCGGGTCCATTTCATCAGGAGCTGATTTTGCAAGCATTCTATCGACATCTAAAATCTATAACCAACGAAAAAATTTCAAATAATTTAAAAAAGTTTATTTCAAATAAAAATAGTTGAAATATGTGAATATTTTACCTTTATACTCGCATCAACGCTTCCAGTGGCTACCAATTGACCATCGAAACTGAAGGAACCAGCTCTACAGGCTTGTTTATGAGATGTTACATAAGCAGTCTCATAACTAGCTGGCTCAGCGGCAAGTGTGGAACCTTCAGTCTCAAATTCTAAGTCTAATCCACCACCATTGTTATCATTGAGTAATGCTTTCTCTTTGCGATCTGGTTCTGCAGCCAATCCTGATATCATTATATTCAGGAGTTTATCACTTGGTGGACATGGGGGATCAGGGAGAACTAATGTTGATAAAGATACAGCAATGTTCTGATGACCATCATAAAATAGTTGGCTAAAATAAATTAATAATGCATTTATGAAATAACTCTAGCATTGTTGATATAAATTTGTAAACTATCTAACCTTATCATCAATCTATAAAGTAATTCTCTATTTTTGATAACATTTTTGGGATCGGGTACTTCAAAATCCTTCATTGCTAAGCAATAATTATTAATTATTATTAATAATCCTACAGAAATTGATGAGCTTTCTTAACCTAAATCACGAAATTAATATTCAAAAATTTATTTCTATGTGGTTATAATGAAAGTAAAAGTTATTTTATTTTGGGTCAATACATTTATATATAATTACAAATTAAAGTAATCTAGTAATCTGAAAATTAATAACTACTAAATTCACTTGTTTCCATAAACTGTCAACATATTATTATTTTTTAAATGATTGCAATGACCTGAACTTGGTATAAAGCAAAATCCAAACTTAACAAAAAAAAAGTATTATTTACAAACAAAACCAATGACATTTTCAAGATTAGCCGTGTTGGTGCGCAAAATATCTTCCGTGAATTTATATGACAAAGTAATTAAAATGTCACTAATAAATAATAGGTATTTTAAAAATGAATTAGATGATTATAAGAGTGGCGCAGTTAAAATAGACGAGGGTGTCATCAAACACCAAATTCAGAATATCGTCGAAGATATTTTAATCCAACAACCAGCAAATTACCGGAATTGTCGAGGCGGTAAGTTCATTTCATTTCACGAATATTCTTGATTTTGCTCTGAGTAGAAGATAGATAAGATTTTTCATATGAATAAATACCGACTTGTAATAAGTTCAACACTTAATTACTAAATGTTTTGCTAACAGGATATTTTAATAGTTAAGCGTACTATCTCACTACTTGTAAGACTAATTTAGAAGACTGATTCTTTTAGGTCTTTATGTGGGTGATGCTGGTATAGCATACATGCTATATTATTTAATCAAGTCAAATTTATTTCCTGAATCTAATGAAAAGTTCTATCAACAAGCCCTACAATATATTGAATCTTCAAATACATATTTAAAAAAGAAACATTCTGAGGATGATATTGGATTTCTTCTTGGCAGTACGGGGGTGCATGCAGTTACAGCTGCTGTATATGATTTAGATATTGAACGCAAATCACTTACAAAAGATTATGCTAAGAAATTTTTGCAGGCTGCAGAGTTTGTGAAAAATACACAATGGGATGAGGCGAGTAAGATAATTCATCTTAATAATATTTGCAAATTATATTAACATTTTTTTTAGGTCCTTGTGGGAAGAGCTGGTTATTTGAGTGGTGCTTTATGGATAAATAAAGTTTTATCGCAACCTGCTATTTCTAGTAATACCTTATATTCAATATGTGATAAAATGGTTCAGTCTGGTAGACAATATGCTGCTCAAAATAGTAGTCCTTGTCCTTTGATGTACTCTTATCATGGCAGTGAATATCTTGGTAAATATTAATATTATATTTGCAAAAATTAATTTTTTTTGAAAAGATTCATATTAATATATGTATATTAAACTATGTAATATTATGGAAATATATGCTTCAAATATTTGAGATTTATGTTTTCTACAACAAAGTTTATAAATCTAAATCCTTTTTTTCTTTTAAGGTGCAGCCCATGGTTTGAGTGCTATTTTACAAATGCTTCTGTCAGCGCCTGGTTATTTGGACAAACATCCCCAAGCCATGAAAGAAGTGAAAGAAAGTGTTGACTATATGCTTTCTGTTCAAAATTCTGAAGGAAATTTTCCATGTACTTTAGATGAAGTGGGATATAAGCGACCAGAAAACAAAGAATTAGTGCATTGGTGTCATGGTGGTCCAGGAGTAGTTTATCTCATGGCTAAAGCTTACTTGACCTATAAAGATGACAAATATCTTCTGTCATGCTTGAAAACTGGAGACCTTGTTTGGAATAAAGGTATTTTTACTCCAATAAAATATATTTTTTAAATTCATTTTGGATTTTTTATATACTATTATTATTATAACTTGTGCTTAGGGTTACTTCGTAAAGGACCTGGTATTTGCCATGGAGTAGCTGGTAGCGGTTATGTATTTCTGCTTTTATACAGATTAACTGGAGATCAAAAGCATTTGCATAGAGCAAATAAAATGGCTGAGTTTATGAGATCTGAGCATTTTAGAGCAAAGGCAAGGACGCCTGATAGTCCTTATTCACTCTATGAAGGAACTGCTGGTACAGTTTGTTTTCTAATTGATTTGATTAAGAAGGAAAACGCCAGTTTTCCATTTTTGGATGTATTCTCGGATTCTGGATCTGGCAATCATTAATTTAACAAAAAACTTGATAACGGTTTTGGACAGAATATTTTGCTTTAAATTTGTGTGAGTTTGTATTATAAAAGAAATAACTTGTAAAATTGTTGAATAGAATATATTACTTTGTTTTGATTAGAAACTAAATGTTTCATAACATTTTATTGTTAAGACGAATTAGTCTTATGTGCATTATCCTACAAATGACATATAAAAGCTTTATGAACAGTTTTTTCAAATATTCTTATATACCATAGAAAAGAAATTAAATTAAATAAATTATTTTAGAAGTAATACTCTTAAATGTATAATAATTATCTAATAGATACTAAAAATATGACTAAATTAATGTAAATGCAATGTTGTTTTATTAGGTTTAATTAAAATATTACATATTTTAAGTGACCATAATACTACAAACAAAGTATCCACTAATAATAATTGATATTATTAATCTTGATATACTCCATACACAGAAACTGAACAAAACATTGACATATTCTCAAACAGATAATTGCACTAGAATGAAATAATTAAATATCAGTAATATTAATTACAACTAATAATTAATTTGTTTTTGAGTCAACCTGTGAATCTCTTTCAGCATCCCAAATAGCATAACTGCGGCTTTGAATCCCTTGCATTTTCTTCTGTCCAATGATTATGAATATGACTATCCTATAACTAAACAAAATATTAAAATTTTAGGTGAAGAAAAAACTGATTGGAACATTTATAAATTCATCTAAGTAACATACCGGTCATAATTTTCACGTTTTAGTCGTCTGCGTATTTCTCTACCAATTACTTTAATATATCCGAGTGAATCTTTTGGGTCATATACAGCATCTTCGAGGGCATCATCAACCACTGTTTGCGTTACTTTATATGCTTTTTCCGCATTAAAAGGATTTTGTGAATCTAAACGGTATGTAGGAAGAAATTTACGAACCTGTGAATAGCAGAAACCTATTATGAATTCGTAGGTTTATTTATTTTTTGAAATTGCCGCCGTCTGTGTGCAGCCTTCTATGATTCTGCTGACCTGCTAATCTACAGCTGTCAAATTTTTGTGTCTGTGTTCCATCGCTTTGATGTGAAGTCAGTTTAAATGCATATTTTAAGAAAATTTCATCATAATTTGGCGTATACGTTATTGATTTGATATATTTTTTTATTGCGTTATGTACCTGAATGTTTTTTATAATTACGGGTTTAAGAGGAGGGCTGTGATAACACGCTATTGTTTTAGTTCCATAAGCATTTGTAAGTTTTGCACGAGATTTGGTAAAAATGGATGAACGAATTTCTGATGAGATTGAAGCTTTGGAAGCTATTTTAATGAATGACGTCACTATACAATATAATAAGGAAACGAATTATCCAGATATGATAGAGACTGTTGTCTTTCCTTCCACAATGGAAGATGCCCAACAACAATATGTTTGCATCACGCTGCAAGTATGGATAACCCCTTCTTATCCAGATTGTGCACCTGTCATCAAGCTGAAAAATCCTAGAGGATTAGATGATAATATGATCAATAGGATTCAAAAAGAAGTTGATAAGAAAATGAACCAGTGTTTAGGGCAACCTGTGGTATTTGAACTTATAGATGTGATTCGAGAGCATTTGACAGATTCTAATTTACCCTCTGGACAATGTGTGATATGTTTATATGGATTTCAAGAAGGAGATTTATTTACTAAGACCACATGTTATCACTACTTTCACAGTCATTGTTTAGCATGTCATTTGGTTGCTGGAGAAAAGTACCATAAAGAAGAGCAAGAAAAACTCCCAGCGTGGCAAAGGCAACAAAATGCAGGTTTCAAAGCTCTTTGCCCAGTTTGCCGAGAACAAATTGATTGTGATCTTGAAGTATTGTCATTAGCTACACCGCCAGTGGAAGTAGAACAAGCTCAAAATTTTGAATTAACTGCCGAATTACGTGCTTTACAAACAAAAATGTCTGAGCTGTATTTACACCAGCAAATGAAAGGAGGCATTATTGATATTGAAGCAGAACAAAATAAACTATTATTAACAACTGCCAACTCTCAAGACGAAGATGAGAATAATCAAATTTCAATAGAATGTGGAGCAGTTTCACAACAAAGTACAGATACTCAAAATAATTTAAAAGTAGTGCAGAATGCAAATGCAAATGTAACAAATTCGTCTGTTAAACAACAGCAAGGTACTGAAGAAGCTAATCAGCAAGCAAAGCAAAATGATATACAAAAGAATCATAATAAAAATATCTATAAAGGAGGACATTATAAAAATTATCAAAGAGGTGGCTATAGAGGACGTGGAGGACATCATTCCAGGCGAATGCAGAATCGAACAAATAGTGATACTACTAACGGGGATAGATGAAGATGGCTTACTCTTTTAGTAAAGTATATGTATCAATGTGAAGCGATAAAGAAATATATCAAGTCATTATAATAAGTACTAATTCGATAATATATTAATGATAATTATTACGATTGTTTTATTTTCTTATTTAAACTATAATATAATAAATATCACTTTCATATGTCCATAGAACAAACATAAATGAACAATTATATGGATTGAGAATTTATTACTATGTACTATATTACTATTTACTATTCATTGAGATATTTTAAATGTATATACATCAATTTTAAGATTTTTCTTTTTACTTACTTTAACTTTAAATATTTCCTGATTAGTACCGGCTTCCAAAATCTGAACGCTGGTGATAGGCACAAGCTTTTTTGATATGCTGGAATACGATGGCTTGACAGTATCAGTCTGGAATTAATAAGAATTAGCTGAAATGTTTATTAGATTAAGTAAATTTATATGTTTCATTAGAATGATGATACCGCTGATCTAGACAACATACACACTGCACATACTATTTATACAGCACATATTATTTATATATGTATATATATTATAATATAATTTATAATTATATATAATATATTTGTAATTATAATTTATATATATATATATATATATATAACTTACTCCTCCTTGGCTTGCTGTAGATTTTCTTTCCTGTTTTATTACGATTGAAACTCGGTCCTTTTGAGTGTCTCTGTGTGGAAAAAAAACTAATGAAAACTGAAAGCACAATTGTGTTCTTCATTTTATAAAACATTTTTTTAATATTTGTTGTATGTATTTTTGGTTATTAATTTTTACTAGATGCATTTTTCTCAAATTTATTCATATTAATGATAAAACGAGGTTTTGTTTACTATTGTTTTCGAAAATCTATTATCTTATGCTCTTCCAACCAAAAATATGTGAAAGTAGACGCTTGAAATAAAATCCTCAATAGAAGGAATCTCAATAGTTTTTATTTGCTGATGAAATAAAGATAATTCAACACTACAATCTCTGTATTTCTCACGGTATTCCGCTTATTTTAATTTTCGTTTACTATTAGATTATATTGCCCATTCTGTTGGCATTGTTAATTATTCTAATCAGAGTAATCTTTATAGTAAACGGGGAGCAAACGAACACTTTCAGAAAGTATACTAGCGTATCGGAGTTCAGGTGCGATTTATTTGAATAAATTAAATAAATGTATTTAAATGAATACTCACAACTTGCCAGAAGCGCCAGGATCTATAAAAATAGTTACATGGTTAAAAAAACAAATATAATTGTACATTCATATGTTAATACATAATATACACAGATATTAAATTATTATAATAGCAATATTATAATATACCTATTATAATCTTGTATAATAGTGTTAAACAGTTAAATATACAATTTTAATTAAGTATAATCGTTTTGGTTTTAAATTAATTCAGTAAACTCTTGACTATGATACTGGCGCAAAATAGCTAGTAACGAAAGTTTTTTATTCAATGAAGTTCATTTTATTTAATCCATAAGAATTCTGATAACTGTAATTTAACATTGTTTATAGAAAACATTTATTATTAAAAAAAAAACATTCTGAAAGGACGTTAAATCTAAACGAATGTTGCTCGTAAAAATATGCGTGAATGGTGCAAAAGATGCCCATTTGCCTTATTTTTTCATGAGAAATTATTTTAGATGGCAATACTATTTTACTATTTATATATTCACAATTTTATAATTGCGTTCCTAATTATTTTTTGTCGATGATATAAGAAGATATAATTTTTTATTTTTTAAATTTACAGATGATTTTTTATATAATTTTTCTTACCCTGCTTGTCGCCATCCTTCGTTTCTGGAGCTTCAGACATTGTTGTTCACAAAAATAATATTTATTTCCAGAATTTCTTAAAACTTCCTTCCTTTCTGCAAATGAGTCAAATTATTAATCAGAAAAATAATTCACAAAATATGTACGATGTAATGTAAGTACCTATCTTACATTAGTTTAGAATCTATTATAAAGTTGATTTGTTTAAATGGAAATTTTCAAACCTTAACAAATGAATCGTTGGTCATTTGTCATAAACTTTGTGCAACATTGATAATTTTTTTTAGCATTTAAAAAAATATCATATATTTTTCAAAATTATGTCAAGATTTTCTTTTAATTGAACGAAAATAGTTTAAACAGTTTTTTTTACTAGTAAATTAACTTATAACTTAACATTTTTTAAAGTCTTATTTTGTCAAGAATAATGCTAGTAATGGTTGTTGTAGATTTTTTTCAGATTTAAATAATGATTTAAATAGATCATTTCAAATTGCTCTGGCAACTGACTGGAAATATTTAGAAATAGGTTAATGATCCATGCATAATTTCTAAAAAAGTCTTTGATTTGTTTCTTCTAAAATTCAAAATACTTTTTATTAAAATTAATGAATTGTTTTAACAAAAAGCCTTCTTTGCATAAAGGATATAATATTAATAGTATAAATTATTAATATAACACGGAATACTAAAATATTATTTTATTAAAATATCAAATATATATTTATTCAAAAAATATTTTTTTCAATTTTTATTGGGTTTTACAATATGTTCCTTAATGATTATATTAATATTTAGAGTTAAGTAATGACAAAACAAATAATACGTATTGTTCATTATTTAATTAAGGCGATTAAGTCTTTTGGGAGTTAGGCAATTAATTTGATTTTCGTACAGTTTTTCTTTAAAGAATAACTAATAATGTCATAGTCAAGTCTCTAATATCGCATTGATAATAAAAAGAGAATAGTTCAAAAACCTTTGATTTTCTCACCATGTAGATGATGATAAATTGATGAAGAAATCTCATGCAAATCTAACACGGAAACGCTACACGATTAAATAAAATAGAACTGCAGATTTGCTTTCTTATGTGCAGAAAGTAAATAAATTGACAATAAACTATTTTGCACTAATGCACTTCACCATTGGATTTACATATTATGTAATAAAAAAAAGTAATATATAAACTTTGAAGAGCAATCACTAGTCGACATTCTATAAGCTGTTTCTACAATGCAATAATATTCTAAATAATTTTCTATTTTTCTTCATCTAACCCAATGGTTGTCTTATTGTAATTGTGATTATATTTTCAATTTTTATTACAGTTTTCATTTTATTTTTATTTCAACTTTTTTAATTTATATTCAATTCATTGTATTTTTTTTGCGTATATCAATTTTGTAAATAAGACATTATAGTCTTGATTAACAAAAATAAATCATAACAAAAAAATTTTTCAATTTTCTTGCTCTGTGCCCGAAAACTAACCTTTTATGAACTATATTTTTATTTGGAAGTATAATTACTTATAGTATACTTATTTTCTTATAATTTATTTTCTGTGCTGGATTACCCCATAGGCCCGTGAGACCCGGGCCTAGGGCGGCACAATATGGGGGGCGCCAAATTTTTCCGATTTTTTTTGGATTGATCCGAAGGATTGATCTTGATCTAGATAATTCTCTATGAAATAGAATGTTATTCGTTTTCTAATCAAACTTATTCAAGGGCGCCTCATTAATATTTTTAGTGATGTATCATGTTTAAAATAAAAATTATCAAATTAATAAGCTTTTTTGTGAGAAATAAAATAAAATAAAATTCGGAGATACAGAGCTAAATGTTTAAAAATTGCAGTTTTTAAGAGAACTAAGCGTGCGATTTAGATGATTCAAAGAACTTTCTGCTTGTTTCAACAAAATAATTGCTTTTGGAAAAAAAAATTTGTTTCTATTTTTTTTTCAAAAAATATTTTTGTAATTTTGGATTAAAAATTAAAAAAATTACCCAGGCTAAGCACAGTCTAAGCGCCAATCTGGTACTACTATGTTTGAAAAATGTGAAAATGCCGTCCAGCTAAGCATAGTATAAGTGAAAATGTCGCACAGAATTATTTGCAAATGCGTTTAGACTGTGACCATACGGGAGCACTTTTTCAATTTTGTGCAAATTTAGCAACTATTTTTTTGAAATTGAATTCGAAAAGAAATGACGATTGTTAATGTTCTGCAGATAAATTGATTTATGATTTACATTTGATTTGCTCAGATATAACAAGATGTAACAAAAATAATGAAAGTTACAGTATCTGTAATATTTGAAAACCGTTTAAAATTTCTCGAATATTCCATTACGGTACGGAAAGTTCCAGCAATTTGCCTTAAGGCACGATGCCATACACCACTAGTTTTATTTTACAATTATATATAAAAACGCACAAATTAATAAAACGCAAATACAAATAAAAACGTATTCAAACGTATACAAATATATGAATCAAACAGAACTAGATGCAAATATTAGCAGTAATAATTTCGACCATCTCGCGACGAAGGTTGAATTTTGAATGATTGTGGGGTACAATAAACTTTTTGTATTGCACCCTCTATGGTTCCGAACCCGAAACTATTCAATTAGATAACAATTTTTGAATATTAGTATCATCTGGTAACAATTCATAGTTTTGTCCCTTTCTGACCCCAATAAAAGAGGTTCGCAATAGCAACTAAAATCATTCTGTATTTGGACCTCTCGGTCGACACTACGGTCAGTGGTAAGTCTTTTAAAAAATATTTATGTATTATGTAATCATTTCGTGCATTCAGTTTCAAATACGTGTCATGGAACTTGTGTTTTGACTTGATTTTCTGTTGAATTATAATTATAAGAAAGTAAATAAATTGAAGTAAAAATTCGTCTCTTTAATATTAAACGTTTTGCGTTACATTTTCTAATTCAAAATATTTGTGCTGAAGTGTCGCCTCAGTGTTTATTGTTGTGAAAATATTTAATTTTAGCCTTTGAGTTAACATAAATAATTCAATGCAATCTCTAGATTATTAAATTTAAATATAATTAAATAATATTAAATTTTTATATAAATGTTATGTTTCAAATATTTACGATTGACTACATTTATTTTGTTTCAGATTTCATACAGTGTTTTGCGCAGTGGCGGATTGCTTTAGGGATTCATTGTGCATGAATTTTTTTTTATTCAATCACATGGACAATTTTTAATTATTTTTTATAATTTTGTTAAATCATAATTTTGTTAAATTATAATGTTGAGTTATTTGCGTCCACATTTTAATTTTTTTTTGTTCGTGCGAGGACTTATTCGTAATTTTAATATCGTTTGAAACAATTTCCGCGTTTAAATGTGTTCCTGTCGCCTACCCCCCACGGCAGGTTCTAGTAATTCGCGTTTCGTTAATAAATTTTTTTTTTCATTCGGTGTGTGGATCCTTGCGATGTTTTTCCCAGAAGCAGCGCAACCCCATACATTTTAATTTCTAATTAGTATTACAATTACTCTCTATTACTACTCTCTATTAGTAGTACAATGTTTAATTTTTTATTTTATTAGTCGGAATTATTTTATCAGTAGCATGGATGTAAATAACTCGTTTAAAAATCTGAAAACTTTGTTAAATAAATTACTTGTTTTTATTTTGACTGATTTTTCTGCTGCAATGCGATGAATATGTTTTAATTAAATAATTTAAATTTTTTGTGATTGCACAATAAGTCTCCTAAACGGAGATATGTTGAAGACGTACTGTTTGCGGTTAAAGAAAAAAGGTAAGATGATACAAAACCCTAAATTATGTAAAAAAAAATAACAAAATTGACATTTATTTTAGTATAGATGG